TGGGATCCATGAAAAGGGTGGAATATCACTCCCATGGTTAATTTCATGTGGCAAAAGGAAATTTTCAGATGTGATTAAGATCACTAATCAGTTGGCTTTGTGTTAGTCAAAAGGGAAGTCATCCCAGGTAGGCCTTTAAAACCAACAAGAAGCAACAGCACTTTTAATCCCAGTGACTTGGGGAAGCTGAGGCAGGAGATCACAAGTTCAAAGCCAGCCTCAGCAACTTAGTAAGGCCCTGAGCAACTTACAAGACCCTGTCTCAAAATTGAAATAAAATGGGCCAGGTTGTGGCTCAGTGGTTAAGCGCCCCCAAATTCAAACACTTCTGCTGGCCTGGAAGAAAGCAAACAGCCATGTTGTGAGCTGTGAGAGGGCCATGAAATTAGGACCCAAGGGTGGTTTCTGGGAGCTAAGAGCAATCCTTGGGCAAGAGCCAGCAAGGAAACAGCCACCTCAGTTCTACAACTGCAAGGAACTGAATTCTGCCAACAGCCATTGGGCATGTAAACCAATCCCAAGCCTCAGATAAAATCACAGGCAAGCCACACTTGGATTTTAGCCCAGTGACAGCCTTAGCAGAGGACCCAGTTAGCCTTTACCCAGACTCCTGCCCCAAAGAAACAGAACTGATAAATCTGTGTTGTTTTAAGCTGCTATTTGTGGTAATTTGTTCTGCAGCAAAAGAAAGTTCATGTACATGTGAAGGGAATCTCTGCAACCAGGTGGGCTAGCTCCAAAGGAGACTGAAAATCACACTGTGCAGCTAAATCTCAGAAGCCAGCTAGCTCCAGGCCAAGGTCCCAACTATGGCGTGATGATATGGAGACGATAGTGGCACTAAGGCCAGTCAGGATCCCTACCCTCTGGTCATTACTTGGCCAAATACAACTTAGCCCCTAAGATATGGAACAAGCAAAGCTGAATGGACCTCAAGGCTTCTTGAAAGAAGGACAGGAGGGAAAGAAGTGGAAGGAGAGAAAGAGAAAACTTTATTTAGGAAGCAAATATTAACGGTGTTCAACATGTATGTATAGGCCCCAGAAATAGTGTGATTTTTTTTAAAGCAAACAAACAAAAACAAAATCTCATGCACTCCAATGAGAGAATACAGAACAATTAATAACATAAAAATTTTTAAAAAGATAATATTTGGTGATGGTTAAGCAAGGGAAAAGTTGGAAGAGATGTTTATTTTCAGTTTTAAATAGAGGGGTCAGAGAAGGTTCCCTCAAAAGATTACATGTGGATATAATCCTGAAGGAGCTGAGGAGTGAACTATGTGGATATATGAGCAGTCACAGTCCAGGCAGAGGAAAGGCAAGTGCAAAGGTCCTGAGGTAGTAGGGCCAGGCCTTCCTGATAAATAGGAACATGGCCAGTGTGGCTGGAGGGAAGTGAGAAAGGAGAAAATAATGGGTTCAGAGAGTACAAGGGCCTTGTGGGTCACTTTGACTTGTACTCTGGGTAAAATGGGAGACACCGAGGGTTCTGAACAAAGGAATGACACCATTTGTCTTAAGTTTTCTGGTCTCTGTGTGAAGACTTGACCATAGAAGAACATGTATAGAAACAGGGAAATGGGTTGGGAAGCCATAGCAGTGGTATAGATGAGAGATGAGATTTGCTCAGAACAAGATCTTGAAAGTGAAAGAAGCACTCAAATTTGGGGGGCCTTTGGAAGATAGAGCCAACAACATTTGTTCTGATTGGATGTAAGAGAAAAATAGGGATATAACAACAAGATTTTTAGCCTGAGCAACTAGAAGGATACAGTTGCCATTTGCTGATAAGGAGAAGTCAGGAAGAGCTCGTTTGGCGAGGAACATTGGGAATATGGTGGAGACTTGTTAAGGAGGCCCATCATTGATATCATCAAATCAAGCAGACATGGATATTCTAATATGGAGTTCAAGGAATGCTTCAGGGTGGAGACATAAATTTGTATCTAAAACATGATCTGGATGAGATCCAAAGGAGAGTAAGTGCAGATAAGAGACATCCAAGGGTGCCCTCCCAGATTAAGATAGCAGAGGGAAGAGGGGAAACCCAACAAAGAGACCGAGAAGGAGAAGCCAATGGTGAGGAGAAACCACCAGCTGTGAGTCCTGGAAGCCATGAGAGAGTGGCCAACAGATCAAATGAGGCTGAGACATGACCTTGGATTTAATGACATGTCGTGGGAGATCTGGACAAGTGTGATTTCGTGGAGTGATGGAGATGAAAACCTGATTTAAGATGATTCAAGAGACTGGGAAGAGGGAAATTGGAGGAAGCGAGCAAAGAGCTCTCGAATTCTGCAACAAAGGGGAACAGAGAAATAGAGCAGAGATAGAGGGGAATCTGATAGGAGAAACTAGTCCATGTTTGTGTATTGATGAGAATGACCTAATAGAAAAGGAAAAAAAAAAATGAGATGAAATTAAAAAAAGATACGGTATTCTCAATAACACAAGAAAACAGAGGGAAAGAGTGTGACCTATTTGATAGGTTTATTTGAAAAGTCTTCAATCTAGGGAGTAGGGTTGTGGCTCAGTGGTAGAGTGCTCACTTAGCATGTGTGAGGCCCTGGGTTTGATTCTCAGCACCATATTAAAATAAAGATACTGTGTCCACTGACAACTAAAAAATAAATATTTTTTAAAAGACTTAAATCTAACATTTGAAATTTAAAACCAAAAAAATTTACACAAGTTCTAAAGCCTAATGAAAACCCATGAACCACGATTACCAGCTCCAAGAGATAGACTGCCACTAACCACACCCATGTGCACCTCCCCTTTCTCCTGCATTTCTCTTAGAATAAAGCAATTTTCCTGAATTTTGTGATTAGCATTTTCTTGTGAAGTAGTGTTCTTTTTACCGTATTGTTAATTTATTGACTAATAAATCTGACGACATTAGACCACCTCAGCCAGACAGCATTATGAAATTCCTCTCACATTTTAATCGGTCACACTAAAATTCTATTTTTTCATATTCTATCTCTAGCTGGCTACTGCTTTGCCTGATAAACCCCTTCTTCTGCATGAAGATCGTTATTATTCATTCTCGTCTGTATTATTTATTCTGTATGAAGGCAGAAAGAGACTAGCATGTCTTCTAGTAGCCAGAGCATTTTTTTCTCTTGGAAGAAGCCCTGCTGGTCAAGTGCCTCTATCATCACCTGATGGTCCCTTCATAGGCCTGGGGGAGGCAGGTGATGAGACTAGTTTTCTTTCAGCCCTAGATCTTGCCTGTGGACAGCTGGCTACCTCCACATCACCCAGGATTCTCCAGGTGTGCAAGGACCTCAGGACTTTGACAAATGCCAGCAGGGTGGGCCCTTTACAAATGGATGACTGCAAGCTGTAAAAAGCCCTCTGCATATATTAACCTGAATCCCAGCTCCCCACACACTTGCTCACTGATGCTTGAAATTACTTTAAGGAGAGACAACAGCTTTCATCGTACAACTAGAGCAACCTTTGAAGGCCCTAGGTGAACAAACTCATTGATTTAGAATAATGCACACGATTGTATAAATGGACTGAAAGATTGGATGGTGCCATGAGCACCTTAAAAAATGGTGTGAAGTGATAAAGGGTGTAGCAGAGCAAGAGGGGTTTTTTCTTCCCCCACAGGGAAATTAAAAAAGAACAATCTTGAAATCAATAGACCTGGAGTCAAGTTGGCTGTTTGACCATAGGCAAGTTACTCAAAGTTTGAAACTTGTTTCTGAATCTGAAGGTAATACCTACCTCCAGAGTTACTTTGGGAATTTGATGCCATTCGTTTTGTAAAAGTTCCCTAGCACAGTGACCACATTTTATGGGGCATTTTCCTTCTTTCCCCATGTCCCCAGGCATCCTAGACTCTTCTTCTTATCCACTCTAACCTCATCCCCCACTTAGAGTGAAGAATCTGGAACAGGCAGCCCGGTTCCGATCCTATCACTTGCTAGCAGTCAACTCGGGCAAATTACTTAATGCTCTGCGCTAAATTCTCCCATCTGTAAAAATGGAGATAATAGCAACCCTTGCCTCTTGGGGCGGTTTTCAGGATGAAAAGAGTTAACATACGCAATGCATTTAGGATAGTTCCCGGCACAAACAAAAAAGGTCAACAGGCATTTGTTGCTATTATTCCCTAGGGTTTCTCTTCACCTGCTCACTTTCCACAGGTCAAAAAAAGAAAAAAAAATCACTATAAGCTCCTCCACTTTCGAGCCCACAGTAAACTGCTCCACATTCCCCCAGGGTTGCCAACGTCCCCTCCCCACCCCGCCCCTAACCTCCCAAGCCTTCTGGACCCGCCAGACCGAGGCGGGAGCGCTTGCAGTGACCCCCAACCGTGCGGCCAGCAGCCGCGGGCGCGGTGGGTGGGGGAGCTCTGTGACGTCGCCTGGGTCGCGAGCGCGGGTGAGCGTCCGCGGCGGCTGCAGGTTGCTAGGCGAAGTGCAGCGCTCACAAAGCCCCGCCGCGCCCGCCGCGCCCGCCGCGCCCGCCGCGCCCGCCGCGCCCGCCG